CTCTCCTCCCTTGCCACCCCCCAACTAAAACGCTACCTATCATATACCCTATCTGCTCCCCAGGGAGGGTGAGGCCTTCTATAGGGGGATCTTCAGAGTCTGTCATATCCTTTGGGATAGGGCCTAGGCCTACCCCTGTATGTCTTGTTTCAGGGAGTATCTCTCTATGTGGAATGGGCTTCCAAAGTCCATACCTATGCTAGGGATAAATACTGGTCTACTACAAGAGGCCCCATGGATTTCCAAGGTCTCCTCATTGACACCCACATTCATGGGGTCTGGATCAGTCCCATGCTGGTTTCCCAGCTATCAGTCTGGGGACCAAGAGCTCCCCCTTTTTCATGTCAGCTGTTTCTGGAGGTTCACCAGCCTGGTCTGGACCCCTTTGCTCATCATTCCTCTTTCCCTGCAACTGGATTCCAGTTCAGTTCAGTGTTCAGCTGTGGGTGTCTGCTTCTACTTCCACCAGCTGATGGATGAAGGCTATATGATGGCATATAAGGTAGTCATCAATCTCATTATGGGAGACGGGCTTTGAAGGTAGACTCTCCCCTATTGCTTAGAATCTTAGTTGGGGTCAACCTTGTAGATCTCTGGACATTTCCCTAGTGCCAGATTTCTCTTTAAACCTATAATGGCTCCCTCTATTATGGTATCTCTTATCTTGCTCTCCTCTATTATTCCCTGGACTCAACCATCCTGCTCCCTCATGTCCTCCTCACCACTCCTCCCCTTCTCATTCCCCTGGCTCCCTCTCTCCTCCCCCATGCTCCCAATTTTCTTGGGAGACCTTGTCCCTTTCCCCTTCTCCAGGGGCCATGTATGTCTCTCTTAGAGTGCTCCTTGTTTCCTAGATTCTCTGGTGGTGTGGATTGTAGGCTGGTAATCCTTTGCTCTATGTCTAAAATCCATATATAAGTGAGTATATACCATGTTTGTCTTTTTGTAACTGGGTTACCTTGCTCAGAATGGTTTTTTCTAGTTCCATCCAACTATTCACAGACAGACCTTGAAAGAACAATTCTCAACTTCATATGGAAAAGGGATAGCCAAAACAACACTACACAATAAAGGAATTTCCAGAGGCATCACCATCCCTGACTTCAAGCTCCATTACAGAGCTATAGTCCTGAAAACATCTTGGTATTGGCACAAAAATAGACAGGTAGACCAATGGAATCCAGTTGAAAACCCTTATATTAACCCCCACACATATAAACACCTGCTTTTTGACAAAGAAGCCAAAGTTATACAATGGAATAATGAAAGCATCTTCAACAAATGGTACTGGCATAACTGGATGCTGTCATGTAGAAGACTACAGATAGATCCATGTATATCTCCAGGCACAAAACTTAAGTCCAGATGGATCAAAGACCTCAACATAAATCCAGCCACAGTGAACCTCAAGTCCAGATAGACAAAAGACCTCAACATAAATCCACCCATACTGAACCTATTAGAAGGTAAAGTAGGAAATAACCTTGAATTAATTGGTACAGGAGATTGCTTCCTTAACATTACACCAGTAATGGGGAATGTACTTCTGTGTATGTTCATCTTATTGATTGTTGAATAAAGTACAGTTTGGCCAATGAGGCAGCAAGTTAGATGGGATAGGAGTCAAGGAGGATTCTGGGAAATGTTGTAAAGAAGTGGGGATCCAGGCAGGAAGTGACATAGCAGGGAGACTCATATTTCAACAAGGACAAGCATGAAGTGGTTCTTTTACCCTTCGCTCTTCCTCCTGCTCTCTACTCTGATCCACCATGTGATCCTGGGAATGACAACACCATCGGAAGGCATCCAATAAGATAAGTCTTATAAAATATATAGGTTTATGATAATTAAGACTGAGCTAGCAGATGAGAAATCCTAGTCATTGTCCAAGCAGCATTTGTACCTAATATAAGTCTCTGTATATTATTTTGGCCATCCACATGGCGGGCAGAACTCAAATGGGTGGTGGAAAGATTTATTGTAACATTATCTTGTGGTTTTTCTTTTTCAGTTTATTTATGTGGTGGATTACATTGATGGATTTTCATATGTTGAACCATCCCTGCATCCCTGGTATGAAGCCTACTTGATCACGGTGTATGATTTTTCTGATGTGTTCTTGGATTCGATTTGCCAGTATTTTGTTGAGTACTTTTGCATCAATGTTCATGAGGGATATTGGTCTCTAGTTCTCTTTCTTAGTTGTGTCTTTGTGTGGTTTGGACACCAAGGTAATTGTAGCTTCATAAAAAGTGTTTGGCAATGATCCTTCTGTTTCTATTGTGTGGAACAATTTGAAGAGTATTGGTATTATCTCTTCTTTGAATTTCTGGTAGAATTCGACACTGAAACCATCTGACCCTGGGCTTTTTTTGGTTGGAAGACTTTTGGTGACTGCTTCTATTTCTTTAGGGGTTGTAGGTCTATTTAAATTGTTTATCTGTTCTTGATCTAATTTTGGTAAGTGATATCTATCCAGAAAATCATCCATTTCCTTTAAATTTTCCAATTTTTCGTGTTCAGGTTTTCATAGTATGACCTGATGATTCTCTGGATTTCCCCAGTATCTGTTGTTATGTCTATCTTTTCATGTCTGATTTTGTTAACTTGAATGTTCTCTCTCTGCTTTTTGATTAGATTGGATAAAGATTTGTCTATCCTGTTGATTTTCTCAAAGAACCAGCTCTTTGTTTCATTGATTCTTTGTATTGTTTTCTTTGTTTCTACTTTATTGATTTCATCTCTCAATTTGAGTATTTCTTGGCATTTATTCCTCCTGGAATAATAAAGGAGTGACTTTACTCCTTTTTTCTAGAGCTTTCAGGTGTTCTGTTATTTCTCTAGTATGGCTATTCTCCAGTTTCTTCATGTAGGCACTTAATGCTATGAACTTTTCTCTTAGAACTGCTTTCAGAGTGTCCCCATAGGTTTGGTCATGTTGTGCCTTCATTGTCATTTGATTTCTTTCTTTATTTCTTCCTTCACCCAGGAATGATGCAATTAAACATTGTTCAATATTCCTTTATACTATGTGAATATATGTTGCTGTGATTGGTTTAATAAACAAGCTGACTGGCTAATACATAAACAGGATATATAGTTAGGGAGGAAAGCCAAACTGAGAATGATGGGATGAGGAAGGGCAGAGTCAGAGAGTCGCTGGCAGATGCAGAGAGAACAAGATGGGCATGCTGTAATGAGAAAATGTAGCAAACCAAGTGGGTAAGCATGGATTAATATCAGTGGGTTAATTTAAATGTAAGAGTTAGCTAGTAACAAGCCTGATCTATCAGCTGAGCATTTGTAATTAATATAAGCCTCTGTGTGGTAATTTGAGGAGCAGATGCTGGATATCAGGTAACAAGTAGTCAAGAGAGAAACATACAACTACTATCCAAATTTGCTTCTTGACATTTGTGTTCATGTATAATGAATGGCTCATTTTCACCTGAGATAATGGTCCCTGGGGTTTTGGATTCACATTCGAATCCCCAGACTCTTCAGAGACTTACTCTCAATGGTAGACAATGACTGTGGGATACAGGTAGGAAGGCTATAAAACCATGCTATAATTATCTTGACTTTCTATTTTAGAATGAATTCTTATTTCAAAAGGTAAGTGTAAAGACATTCCTCTGCTATTGGAAAATACTTTATTCTTTGATGTATATGTTTATAAGTTGTAGTCAAGAAACAAGTCATGTATAATAAAGAAAAATTAACATAATTTATATTTCCATAGTGAAATTCCTGTGAATAATTAAGCATAAAATTTAGTTTTCATTGCTTTCTTATTTATCCATGCACTTAGAAGACTGGAAATCCACATGGTCTCTAAAGTCATGTTAGCTCAAAACTCAAGAAAAATGCAAATGAATTTTGACACTGCTTTGACATTGGTGATTTCCTGACAAATACCTCATGGGAAGACAGACTTTGTTTACTAATCAGAAACGATAGGGTTACAGACTCCAGGCACTCCAAACACAAGAATATAAGGTTAAGAATCTCAAAACACAAGAGTCAGCCTACTCCTAGATAGAGAACCTGGGTAAACTTAATATTCCAGGTTGAATATTTACCTGTGTACTTTGTAACCAATCACATTATTTCATTCCATTGTACTCCAGCTAGAAAATATCATTATGTAAGGAGAGGATTTGGTGACTGGTGATAAGACAATGATTTAATTAGTTAGTATTTAAAGTATGTAGTAAATTTATAGTAAGTTCTCCCATTTGACATTTTAGTTCTTCCTAGTTCTTCCAAGAAATTTTATTTCTCGCTATAAAAACTAGCCTTAAGATAACCAGGCAGTTGATTGACTTAACAACCCAAATCCCTAACTATGGGCATTCTGTTTGGAAAGCTGACCTGCTGTCACTACTATATTAATACATGCTCCTCACTTTATTGTCACTCTTCAAACCACTCTGTCTGTGGTTTGTGTCTTCAATCTAGTGTTTCTTATGTAACATTAAGTTACTTAGCATTTTCAAATTACATATTTTATCAACCATAAAATTGAATCACTAAGAGTCCTAACATTTCATGTAAATGGTAGTAGACACTACATAATATATTAAATAGAGTACAGGTGATTTGCAAAGGATTCTTAAAGGTCATAAATTATTAAAGAGTTCATTACATAATTTTACATTTGCAAAGCTTAATTCTTTCTGATTTGTTATTTTCAAAAACCTCACAGTTTACACATTTAGTTTTAAATACAATTAGGTATGTTTAAGTATATACATGATGCAAATTAATGATACATCATTAGAAGGAACTTGCTAGCATTTCACTTTTAAATTTGTAAAATAATTAATACACACACATATGGAAATTCTGGTAGTCCAATTAATATCCCAAATATATGTTTTGAAGGACATGTTTGTTTATACTAGATATGTGTTATTGAAAATGTAGCTAGATATTTATAAATCCTTTCTTGTAATGTCTCCATCACAGCCTTGATCTAGCATCAGTTATACTGTCCTATGGCTTTCCTGGAGGATGGGAACCACACTTCAGTGACAGAGTTCATTTTATTGGGCTTGACAGATGACCCAGTCCTTAGAGTTGTCCTCTTCACCATCATCCTGTGCATCTACCTGGTGACTGTGTCTGGGAACCTCAGTACCATCCTCCTCATCAGAGTCTCTTCTCAGCTCCATCACCCCATGTACTTTTTTCTCAGTCACTTGGCTTCTGTTGACATAGGCATCTCATCTTCTGTCACACCCAATATGCTTGTCAACTTCCTGATAGAAAGAACTACCATCTCCTACCTTGGATGTGCCATCCAGCTTTGCTCAGGTGCTTTCTTTGGATCAACTGAGGCCTTTATTCTGGCTACCATGGCTTATGATCGTTTTGTGGCAATCTGCCACCCACTGCTTTATTCAACCAAAATGTCCGCACAAGTCTGTGTCCAGTTACTTGTAGGATCCTACATTGGTGGTTTTCTTAATGCTTCCTCCTTCACCATTTCCTTCTTTTCTTTTCTTTTCTGTGGACCAAATAGAGTCAATCACTTTTTCTGTGATTTTACTCCTTTAGTTGAACTCTCCTGTTCTGATGATAGTGTCCTCATAGTTTTTGATTCATTTTCTGCAGGCTCCATCATTGTGATCACAGTGTTTGTCATAGCCATTTC